AGGGTGGCATGCCCAGGGAGGGCATGCAAGCTCCTGGAGGGTGGCGTTCCAAGGAAAAAAAAAAAAAAAAAAAAGGAGTTTAAAGAGATCTTGGGATCAGGCAGTTGGACAGCTGTTACTCCATATCCAGGGCGAATGGCAGGACTGTGAGCTGGGGGGTGGCATTCCAGGCAGGATATGTATAACAGACTGGTCTCTTCTGGGCATTCTTTACCTTGGCAAAGCCAGAAGACCAAGAAGCTGGAGTCCCAGCTCAGTCATATCTGAGTCGTGGGCAGTCACAGGCTTCCACAAGCCTCAGGTGCCCCATTTGTTCAGTGGGGCAGTAGTGCCGTCAGCACAGGGGAAATAGCAGCCTCCCGTCTGTAATGCTGGTGAAAAGGCACTTTCTAAGTTGTCAGAGACTCCATGGATACTTATTTTTGTGATTGTTTTGTCTGGAGCCGGTGTGATTAGCTTCCCTAGACCTCAGAAAACCTGTCCAATGGGTGTGAGGGGGCATTAGGTGGCTAAATAGGGGACATTAGTGGGGGACCCCTTCCTTATAAGGGCCTGGCTCCCACTTCTCCCTCCTTAGACCCCGTTCCCCCCAGCTGAGGCATGAGCTGGGCTGTACCAGGCACCAGGTGGAAGGGAGGCCACCAGGCTTTCACCCAGTCTAGCTCTGGGGACCCTGGGAAAAGGAGCTGGGAGGCTCTGCTCGTGCGCTGTGTGCCTGCCCGCCCACCCACCGCCTGCTGCAAAGCCCGGAGCCGCCGCTGGGAGAGGAAGTGCATTCGGTTACCAATCGGGTTATTTTCATAACGGCTGTCTCAGGCTGCGGGGAGGAGGGTGACAAGGGGGAGGGGGCAGAGGAGCAGCCACGGCCGCTCACTCTCCAAACTAGGACTTGCTCAGCAGAGGCCGGCGGCCCGGAGCTGGAGCCAGAGCCTGGCCTCGGGGACCCCAGCTCCCGCCTGCTTGCCCCACTCCTGCCTGCGCCCTGCCTTCCAGATCAGGTCAAAAGGGGCCCCCAGCCCCTCCTTGCCTTCGGCTTCCTCCCTCTGTATCTGGCTGGGTGGGTGTGGGGAGGGTGGGATCGGGTGGACCCAAGCCCCACCATCCATCCCCAGGCGAGGGGCCTGCCGTGCCAGGTTCCTGAAGCTGATGGAAAAGCGTCCTGCCAAGCTCCTGCGAGCCAGGGCAGACCCTGCCGGGTAAACATTCACTGGCCTGGTGGCCTTCTTACCACCCAGCCTGGCCCACCTGCTCCCTGGGGTACATTTTGTTGTTTTTGGCAAGTTCCCTGTGGTGAGTCTCAGCCTGGGAAGGCAGGACCCTGCCTCTCCAGCCCCCAGGCTGACCTGGGAGGGGCTGGCCTCCCTTCCAGCTTCCCCACCTCCTTCCCTCCCACCCAGGGTCTGTAGGAGCAGAGCTTCGGGGGCTCTGGGGAGACAGCTGCAGGTCCTTGCTCTAGGGCTGCCAGAGGTGGGGACACCATGCACCATGCCCAGTCTTCACAGAGCAGAAGGCGGACCAGGCCTTCCCCACGGCTTAGAGTGGGCACTCTGGCTGAATCCCATGGGGTGTCCTGTGAGAGCAACTCTGGGGACCAGACCTGGTGCCAGGTGCAGAGGGCATTCCTTATGGCACAAACGGATACCCAGGTGGCACCTACAGCCGGCTGTGTTCCTCATGCGGGGCTGGTGGCCACCCCAGACGCTCCTTCCCTTTCCGGACTCCCAGCCTCCCTGTGGGCAGACAAGCCCCAGGAGGCAGCAGTCACAGGCTCTGGTGTCTGTTGTGGGCACATGCCCTGCCAGGCACCTGCTGTCTGCCAGGTATCACCAGGTGCTCTCCCTCGGTCATCACATCCAGACCTCCTTTATGCCAACCTTCTGAACTGGGTAGTGTAAGCCCCATTTTGCAGATGAGAAAATTGAGGCTCAGAAAGATTAGTGGATCAGCCTAGGGCGGCAGTGGCAGATTTGGGATTCCAAAGCCCTTGAAACTAGCATAGGGCATGAGATGGCCTGGGCTGGAGGTGGCCTGTCCGCTCTAGCAGTAGCCGATAAAGCTCTCCAGCCTGCCCACCTCCATGTCAGCCCCTGCAGCTTGGCTGCCCACAGCCGCTGTCCAGCAAGGGTGCGTGGCCAGACACCGCTGGTCTTGTCGCCTGACATCCTCTGTCCTTTCCCAGGCCCTGTCCTTGTTGGGCCCCAGAGCCGGCCAGAGGTTAATGGGGTCCCTGTGTCCTTTCCCATCCTGTCCCTGTTGGTGTGACAGGCCCCCAGTCTGGAGACCAAGGGACAGCCATTTTGCTGTGCTCTTGGGTTGAAGCCCTCTGGGTGACCTTTACACGTGCTGTGGTGAGTTGAGGTGACCGAGAGTACAAGTTGAGAAGCCGCTATCATGCAGAGCTGTGCTACAGGAGAGGCCCAGGCCCAGGAGAAACCCCAGCAAAGATAGGAAGTGAGGAGTCAGGCTCTGGCTGACCAGGGGACAGAGGTTTCTATGGAGACCAGAGGAACAGGAAGCATAAGCCTTCAGGGAGGGGCACGGGAGCAGGAGGCATGGGTGCCCAGCTGGAGGGCCTGTTATAAAATGTCAACTCAGCCAGTCTGACAGTCTTCCCAGACAAACAAGGAAACTGAGGTCTGTGCAGGGCAACCTGCACACAGTCACACAGCCCTGCCTGCCCCACTCTGCTGGGAGGGGCGGCCCCATCGATCGCTGAGGACACTCCTGGACAGATGTGGACCTGGGCTGCCTGGCGGTGTGTGGGGCCAGGCACCACAGGAGCACCTGGCTGCCACCCTTGTCTCTCGAGGGGGTCCTGGCCCCTGTTGTCAGGGCAGGTCTGGGGCTGCAGGCCGGGCCCAGCTCTCACCGCTGCCCACGGGTGCAGCAGCACCTCCCCCCACTGACTGTGGCCTTTTGTTTTCTGGGTGACACTAGCATCAGGCGCTGTGTCCGGGTGACTAATCTCCTCCAGGCTGGGCAGCTGTCACAGGGCGGCCTGACCAGGCGGGCGGGGAAAGCCGACACCCTGGGGAGGGCTAGCAGGCTAGTGCCCTGACAGCAGGGGCAGCCGGACCTTCAGGCTTCTTTTCCCTGACACACAGCAGGCCCCAGGTTGGGAAGACCCAGCTTCAAGTCCCCACTGTGCCGCTGACTGGCTGTGGGACTGTGGCATGTTATTGTCCCTCTTGAAGCCTCAGTTTCCCCATCTCTAGAATGGAGCTTCGGGTCCTGCCTACCTCACAGGGCTGTGGTGAGGATCACATGAGGTGATAAAGTCCTTAGCACAGGGCCTGTCACATAGCAGGTGTTCATTATAATTCCCTGCCTGGTTCCCTTCCCTACCCCGTCCCAGCCTCATGGTCCAGGAGGAAGGAGCCTGCAGCCCACCCCATTTCTGGGGCACAGGCTTTGCCGTTAGGTAGGCTCGGGCTTCAGCACTGGCTCCACGCTGGCTTGCCGTGGACTTAGGGCAGGTCACCTCTGCATCAGTTTCCTCATCAGGAACGCAGTGTGACATGGTACCTGTTTCTTGGGGTTACGGTTTCTGAAATGATCTAAGTGTTTCCCAGGAGCTTAGCCCAGTGCCTGACACATAGGGGCTCAGTAAATGTCAGCCGTGACGCTAGTGATTTAGGGGAGGCCCAGCACTCTCCACCCATGCCTGCTGTCCTGCCTCTGCAGCTCCCTCCAGCCCAGGTCATCTGCTTTGAGTGGGGCACTATTTGGGGTCTAAGAGCACTGCCCTGACCTCCCTGTCATCTGAGGCAGCTGGGTACTCCAATAGGCAGGGACCAAGAGTTGAGCCATGCAGAACTCTGCTTTCCCAGGCACCTCCGCCCTGTCCATCTCTCCCTCAACACCCTGCACCTGCCTGAGGCTGCGCAAGACCCACGGGTCAGTAGCAAATCAAGAGTGCGGTGCATGGGAGAAGGTGCTAGATGTGCGGCCTGGGCCTGATTCTTTCAGCCCATCATCTCTGCCCTCATCCTCCCTCCTGCCCACCGTGTGTCCAGGGCATCACCCACCATGCCTAACTAATGCCAGCCTTCAGCGGGCCAGCCCTGGGCAGCACTGTCCCAGGGCTGTGACCTTAACCTCAGTGGCTGTCAGGGGCTAGGATGCATTCCCCACCAGTCTCTGCCCAGGAGAACACCCGCTGTGGAGCACAGGTGGCCTCTGGTACCTGGAGGCATTGCCACCCTGAACCATGCCAGGCGGGCTGCCCTTCCCCCTCTGTTAGGAGAGGTGAGGGCATAGGAGCCAGATGCTGGCTGTGAAGAAGGGAAGGGAGGGTGGAAGTGAGCTGGCAGAGGGAGCAGAGCATGAGTTCAGGATGGGTCCAGGGCGGTCCGGTCCAGGTGAGAGCTAGGATGAGGCCCACGGCTCCTGCCTCCCTGCAGGAGGGAGCTCTGGGCTGGGCAGTGTTTGGAATTGAGAGTATTGGGGCTTCTAGCATCAGCGCTGCAGAAGAATGTGCAGTCATAGGCTCCCTCAGCAGCAGAGCCAGAAGGGTTTCCAGCATCACCCAGCACTTCACCCTGGGGTGTCTGTACGTTGCCCTTCAGAAAGGTGAGACAGAGAAGTTAAGCACCTTATCAGCGCCTCAGAGACACAGGCACACACACCCGGAATCCAGGAGGCTTTGCTTTTGGCCCAAGCCTATTGTTTCGGCCCCTTGGGTGAAGAAGTCTGAGCAGTCCCTCTCCTGGGTGAGCCAGACAGCGGCTCTCCAGTTCCCTGACACCTAGTCTTCCCTGAGCCACACATTAGACCCTCCCTACTTCCAGGAGTCACCCTCAGCCTGACCCCAAGGCTGGGGGCCGAGCGACTCCGGGGGTCCTGTCAGGGCTGAGTTCCTTTGCAGAGCCTCATTTTGTTATCATAGCTTGGTTTGCGCCATGTCCCAGGAGGGGACACCTAACCTGCCCCATATTGGTGGGAAAACAAAGGCCCAGCGAGTGGGCATTCCTGCCTGGAGCCCCGCCATCCGTCCGGGCAGACCGACTCCCACTTTTCCTTTTCTTTTCCATCAGCTTCAGACGGGGCAGGTGGAGGCCTTTAGGCCTGGGGCTCTGTGGTCGATGGTGCCGGGACAGGGGAAGAAGGGGTAGCCTGAAGCACCCAGCTACCCAGGACTCCAGGGCTCCCCAGGGTACAGTGGGGGAGAGCATCAGCACCCCAACAGCTGTAAACATGGGCTCCCCTGAGCACCCCTGGGACCCTCGAGCACCCCACACCTGGAGGTCAGAGGCTGTAGTGACCCCTCCCTCCCTCAGGGGTTCCGTCCCTCCTCATGGGGCAGAGGCTTTGACTGGGCTCCGGACACAGGACAGACCATGGCCTGGTCTAGCTCCTGATGCCCCTGGTCTCTGTGCCCAACAGCCACCCGCCTGCCATGGAGACCTTCTTTAGGAGACATTTCCAGTGGAAGGCGCCAGGCCCCGGAGAGGGGCAGCGGCGGCCCAGCAGCGTGGGGCTGCCCACGGGCAAGGCTCGGCGTTGCTCCCCCGCCGGGCAGGCCTCCTCCTCACTGGCACAGCGGCGCCGCTCCAGTGCCCAGCCCCAGGGCTGCCTCCTGAGCTGCGGGGTGAGGGCCCGGGTTTCCAGCCGCCGGCGCTCCAGTACCGTGCCCTCTTCCTGCAACCCCCACCTCATCGTGGATAAGGTGCCCACTCCACAGCCTACCACTGTGGGGGCCCAGCTTCTGGGCGCACCCCTGCTGTTGGCCGGGCTTGTGGGCATGAATGAGGAGGAGGAGGAGAAGGGTGTCCAGGAGGATGTGGCAGCTGGGGCATCGAGCGCCACCCAGCCAGGCACCAAGACACCAGGGCCACCCCTATTCCGGGGCGCCCGGCCACTGTTGCCCCTGCCCCGATGCCTGCGCCGAGCCTCCTCCCACCTACTCCCCGCGGATGCCGTATATGACCACGCTCTCTGGGGCCTGCACGGCTACTATCGGCGCCTCAGCCAGCGGCGGCCCTCAGGCCAGCACCCTGCCCCTGGGGGCCGAAGAGCCTCAGGCACCACCGCCAGCACCATGCTGCCCACCCGTGTGCGCCCACTCTCCCGCAGGCGCCAGGTAGCCCTACGGCGCAAGGCGGCTGCACCCCAGTCCTGGAGCGCCCTGCTCGCGTAGGTATAGCTGCGGCTAGCAGGGCGAGTGGTGTGACCTCCTGTGGGTCTGGCCTGGGCAAGGGCCTTGAAGCTCTGCCTGGCCGAGGGTTCCTCCCCACTTGGGAACACTCCGGGCAGTGCCACAAAGCCAGCGCACCCCCAAAGGCCACGTCTCCTGCAGGGAGCTTCTCAGTTTCTGGGTCTTCTGGGAGGTCCTCCACCGTCCCTGTCACCAAGGTCGTGGAGAGGACAGAGGCCCCAAGAGTGGGAGGAAGCTGGGTCAGCAAATGCTCAGCCCCCTCCTCAGCTGTCTTCTCCCCTGTAGGAAAGCCATCACCAAGTCCGGCCTCCAGCACCTGGCTCCCCCTCCGCCCGCCCCTGGGGCCCCGTGCAGCGAGTCAGAGTGGCAGATCCGGAGCACAGTGGACTGGAGCGTGAGTGCCTACATAACCATGGGTGCCAGCCCCGCTGGACTCTGGGCCGTGGCGCAGTTGTAGGGCAGAGGCACAGCAGGCAGCTGGGAGAGCCAAGCCTGGAAGGGTGGACAGTCGGGCAGATGGGACAGAGCAGGGTTGATCCAGGCTCTGGAGTGGGTCTGTCTTGGGAGAAGGTGGGTGGGCAGGGGCTGATGGGAGGGAGGGCTGGGCAGCCAGCATGCACTGAGCAAGCCCATCCCGTGGCTAGGAGTCAGCAACATATGGAGAGCACATCTGGTTCGAGACCAACGTGTCAGGGGACTTCTGCTACGTGGGGGAGCAGTACTGTGTAGCCAGGATGCTGGTGAGTGCTCGCTGGGACACGCTGCCCCCTGCTGGCGGAGCCAGCACCTGCAGCCCTTCTGGGAAGGTGGGATGGAGCACTCTCCCTAGCACCCCTGCCTGCTGTGGATCACCCCAGGATGGTGAGGAGTGCAGAGGCTTTTTCCAGAGGCCAGGACTGGGCTTCCCAGTGTACACAGAGGGCAGCTGTGCTGGGCAGGCAGCCTCCGAGATAGACTTACTGGTGCCTCAGGGGCCCTCTCCTCTTGTCCTGCAGCAGAAGTCAGTGTCTCGGAGAAAGTGCGCAGCCTGCAAGATCGTGGTGCACACACCCTGCATCGAGCAGCTGGAGAAGGTGGGTGGGTAGCTCAGCTTTTGCCTGCCCCTGCCCTTTGGGTGCTAAGGCCCTTGCAGTGCACACACATACCCACACGTTATACAAACATGGCCTGCCAGGAGCAACCCAGCACTCAGGGGTGAAGAGTCAAGGACCCTGGAGCCAAATGCTTGTGATCGAATCCTGGTGCCTCACTTACTAGCTGCTGCATCCCCACTGCCTAGAAGAAACGTGGCACAGAGTGGGTTCACTGAATATCACTCGATGAGATGAATTGTCAAATCATGCATGCATGGCCCTTGTACCATTTCAGCATGTCCAAACTAGACCTTAGAAGAGGCCATTGGTTTGCTGAAGCTTCATAACACAGCTGTGGCTGGCGGCGGAGGTGGGGGTCCCCTACACCCTGCCTGTGAAGACCTTTTCCCAAGGTCCATTGTCCACTGTGTATCTGCAGCTGGGGACACGTCTGGGCACTGTGCTTCTAGAGGGAGGTGGGGGCAGCACTGAGCAGGCAGGTCAAGGCTAGGGGTAGAAGAGTTTGTGTGGAAGGGCAGGGCTCCCCAGCCTGCAGCAACCCAGACCAGCATACAGGAGAGACTGTAAGACCAGGAGTGGCTCAAGCAAGGCTCACATGGGCTGCTTTTCCTAGCCCCTGAATCGTAAAGTGAGGTGTCCTTATACCTGTAATAAGGCTGAAGTAGGGCCACTTAGGAGAAGGGAAGTAGAAACGCAGCCCAAAGCGTTGTACACTCATGTCTCAGGTAGAAATCCAGCTAGGGTTCAACAAATTAGCTCAAGGTCTCCAGGGACCAGGCAGCACAAGCCTGCATGTAAGGACCAGGCTGGGAGTGCCAGAGGGTGAGGAAGAAAAAGACGAGGCCGGGCACAGCGGCTCACGCCTGTAATCCCAGCACTTTGGGAGGCCAAGGTGGGCGGATCACTCTGAGGTCAGGAGTTTGAGACCATTCTGGCCTGGCCAACATGGTGAAACCCCATCTCTACTAAAAATTACAAAAATTAGCTGGGTGTGGTAGTATGCACCTATAATCCTAGCTAGTGGGGAGGCTGGGACAGGAGAACCACTTCAACTTGGGAGGTGGAGGTTGCAGTGAACTGAGATCACACCACTGCACTCCAGCATGGGCGACGGAACAAGACTCTGTCTAAAAAAAAAAGAACAATGAGCAAACCACGGTCCCATGTTAGTGGGGGAGACGGACCCGAAGCTCCCAACCTCCCCCCAATCCTGGATACTGGGTGGCAAAAGGGAAGGTCCCTCTGGCTAGTGGGGAGGAGGCAGAGAGGCAGGAGGGCTTCTCAGGAGGTACCGTGTTCCAGGGACTCTTAGGATGATTTGGGGGTCTCCTTACCTTGTGAGGCTGACCCTGGGTGTCCTGGAGGGGATGACCACATACCTGACCCTGAAGGGAGGTTCTGACATTTGGTGGTCACTGCAATGTTTCAGATAAATTTCCGCTGTAAGCCATCCTTCCGTGAATCAGGCTCCAGGAACGTCCGTGAGGTACGTGCCTAGGGTGGTCAGGGCCCCCTAAGATTCCTGTCTGGGCCTCTGCGCAGTGCCTCTGGAGTGCCACCAGGGGGCTCAGCTCCCTCTATGCTACTCCTCGCTGAGGTTCTGGGGTCTTCCCTGCGGTTGCGTGGCCGGCGCTGCCTGCAGAGGGGGTGGGACAACTTGTGTTTCATGGTGCCTCCCAGCCTTCTCTGTCCCTCCTCTGAGTCTGAGCCTCCCCAGGGCCATGGAGAGTCTTCAGCCCCTCCTCTACTCATGTGCAGGACTGCAGAGAGCTTCCAGCTTCCTGCAGCCCCCACCCATTGATGTACTGAGTGGTGTGGGCGGTCCTCAGGGCTGTGTCCCCGCCCATCCCTCACCCCGGTGAAATTTCTCCCCTTCTCCCCCAGCCAACCTTCGTACGGCACCACTGGGTACACAGACGACGCCAGGACGGCAAGTGTCGGCACTGTGGGAAGGTGAGAGGCCCTGCCTGAGGACATCGGCACCTGCACCTGTGGCCTGAGGCCAGGCTGTGTGTCCCCTTACCCTTGGTCTCTGAGCTGAGCAGGCAAGCAGGGAGGAAAGTTTTCTTCCAATGCCACATGCTCGGCCTGCTTTGAAGTTGCAAATGGCCCTCTGGAGAATCATGTAGACTTACTCATTCGGTGACTCCGAGAATACCTATGTGCCAAGCGCCAAGCTGGGCAGCAGCTTCCCACCCTCCTGAGAACAGTGTGGCTTGAAGCCAGCCTCTCCAGGCAGTCACCTAGCACAGCCCACAGTGGTTTGGTTCGCATACTTGTTTGCTGCTTGCCCGCCGCCCTCAGTAAGTGCAGGCTCTCAGAGATGGAAGGCTTGCTTCTGCACTGACGTCCGCCTGGCCCACTGCAGGCCTTTCATAACAGCCTGTGGGACAAACAGGAAATGTGAGGTACTCAGAAGCAGTGTCCATTTCTTTAAGAGCACATGGGGGCCTGGTCAGGCCTGGGGGCAGGAAGGAGGGAAAATGAGAGTGAGGCAGGAGTTAGCCTGCATTGAGGCAGATGGGTGTGCACGTGGTGCTGTGCAGGTGACCTCAGGGAGTCGAGGCCCCTGGCTACCCAGCCCTGTTCTTCAGGCTTACTTTATCTATTTTTTTAATTTTAAAAAATGTGTTCAAAGCTGGGCATTGCAGCATGTGCCTGTTGTTCCAGTTAATTGGGAGGCTGAGGCAGACTGCATAAGCCCGGGTTTGAGACTAGCCCTGGCAACATAGCCAGGCTCTGTCTCTGGGTGGAGAGAGGCTGGCGACAGGAGAGGGGCTGGGTCTGCTGCTCTAGGCCTGGCCCTGGTGCCCATCCATCCTGTCCACCCTCAGGGTTTCCAGCAGAAGTTCACCTTCCACAGCAAGGAGATTGTGGCCATCAGTTGCTCGTGGTGCAAGCAGGCAGTGAGTGGTGCCCCTGCCCCCAGGGCCATGCCCTGCAACTGCTGGGTTTGGGTCCCCAAGTCCCGACCCGGTCCCACTCACCCTGGCCCCGCGCTCTCCGCAGTACCACAGCAAGGTGTCCTGCTTCATGCTGCAGCAGATCGAGGAGCCCTGCTCCCTGGGAGTCCACGCGGCCGTGGTCATCCCGCCCACCTGGATCCTCCGCGCCCGGAGGCCCCAGGTGAGTGCTGCCTGCACCCTGCATGCACCCCCACGCACTTGGGGTCTGCCAGCTACCCCAGCCTGCCCACCTTGTCGCCAACCCTCCTGCTTCCCTTGCAGAATACCCTGAAAGCAAGCAAGAAGAAGAAAAGGGCATCCTTCAAGAGGAAGTCCAGCAAGAAAGGGCCTGAGGTCAGCCCCTGGCTGGGCAGGGGCTGCAGGGGTCAGGAGGGAGGGATCTGTTGCTCAGGGTACGGACCTCCCACCCCCCAGCTAATGCTGCCAGCTGGCGGGGTCCATTGGGCTCTGGAGGCTCTGAGGAGGGCAGGATCAGATGCAGTTTCTGCTCTGTGGCCTGGTAAGATCTGGCCCAGAGATGGTACATGAGGGTACACAAGGGGAACGAAGTGTCGCCCAGGGGGCCTGCTGAGGATAGCGGTAGGGTGTCCCGGACAGGAAGGAGCTTACAAGCTTGCCTTGTCTCCCAGGAGGGCCGCTGGAGACCCTTCATCATCAGGCCCACCCCTTCCCCCCTCATGAAGCCCCTGCTGGTGTTTGTGAACCCCAAGAGTGGGGGCAACCAGGTAAACACGGCCTTGCCTGTCAGCTGAGGGTCTGGGCAGGGGTTGGGGTCCAGCGCATCTGCCAGCAGCTGTTCCCAGAGTCCATTTCTGGCTACTGCCACAGTCCCTCTTTCCCAGGGATCCTGAGAAAATCCTTTCCTTTCTCCACCCCTCACCCCTTATTGGCCGTAGTTCCCATAGTGACGTCCCTCTCCCTGTGCTGCTCCCGCTTCTCCCACCGCGGGACCGCCTCCTGGCCCCTCCCCACCACCTCTTGACTCCCCATCCCATCCAGGGCGCGAAGATCATCCAGTCTTTCCTCTGGTATCTCAATCCCCGACAAGTCTTCGACCTGAGCCAGGGAGGGCCCAGGGAGGCGTAAGTACTTGCCAAGGCTTTGTGGGGGACGTGGGGGCACTTGCCTCGCTCCTGGGGTACAGCGCACATCCCCTGACCCCACTGCCGTCTTCCCATGAGCCCAGGCTGGAAATGTACCGCAAAGTGCACAACCTGCGGATCCTGGCATGCGGGGGCGACGGCACGGTGAGCTTCCCCCACGGGCTGGCTGAGCGAGAGGGCTGGGCCTGGAGCCAGCGTCCCTGTGGGCCTGACCTGCCTCTGCTCCCTCCCCCAGGTGGGCTGGATCCTCTCCACCCTGGACCAGCTACGCCTGAAGCCGCCGCCCCCTGTCGCCATCCTGCCTCTGGGTACTGGCAATGACTTGGCCCGAACCCTCAACTGGGGTGGGGTAAGCACCCATAGGAGGGGCGCGCAGCCGGGGCCTCTCCAGCCACAGAGGTCTCAGTCCCTGCCTCCTCCCCCAGGGCTACACAGACGAGCCCGTGTCCAAGATCCTCTCCCATGTGGAGGAGGGGAACGTGGTGCAGCTGGACCGCTGGGACCTCCACGTCGAGCCCAACCCGGAGGCAGGGCCTGAGGACCGAGATGAAGCCGCCACTGACCGGGTGGGTTGGCCGGGCCGAGGCAGGGGACTGGCTCCCACTTTCCCACTCTCTGGTTCTGGGACTTTGGGCAAGTGTCTTCATTTCTCCAACTTCCACTTCTTCCTTGTATGATGGGAATAATAGTACTTCTCTCACAAGATGCTGTGTCTTGTCTTGTTTTGAGATGGAGTCTCACTCTGTCTCCCAGGCTGGAGTGCGGTGGCACGGTCTCAGCTCACTGCAACCTCTACCTCCCAGGTTCAAGTGATTCTCCTGCTTCAGCCTGCTGAGTCGCTGGGACTGCAGGCACATGTCACCACACCTGGCTGATTTTTGGGGTTTTTTGTTTGCTTTTTGGTTTTTTGTTTTTTTGTTTCAGAGTCTCACTGTCACCCAGGCTGGAATGCAGTGGTGTGGTCATGGCTCACCGCGACCTCTACCTCCTGGGCTCAGGTGATTCTCCTGCCTCAGCCTCCTGAGTAGCTGGGACTACAGGCGCCCGCCACTACACCTGGCTAATTTTTGTATTTTCAGTAGAGTCAGGGTTTCACCATGTTGGCCAGGCTGGTCTTGAACTCCTGGCTTCCAGTGATCCACCCACCTCAGCTTCCCAAAGTGCTAGGATTATAGGCGTGAGCCACCACACCCAGCCAATTTTTGTATTTTTAGTAGAGATGGGGTCTCACCTTGTTGGTCAGGCTGGTTTTGAACTCCTGACCTCAGGTGATCCACCCACCTCAGCCTTCCAAAGCACTGGGATTACAGGCGTGAACCATCACACTAGCCACAAGATGCTGCTCTATTTGGCAGACATTCACGGAGCGCCTGCTGCCTGCCAGGCACTGCTCTAAGCAGTGGGCAAAACCAAGCTCCGGCTCTCGCACTCCATATGACATGTTGGGAAGAAGTGTTAGGGGAGCTGACAGGAAAGAGATGCCGCCAGGCACGCAGGGAAGTTCCCCCAGGAGCCACCGGGCAGAGCAGGGCTGCGCCTGGCGGTGGGTGAGCTGGGCTGAGTCCCAGTGGACGCTGCTGACCAGGGAAGGCCTGTGAACAGATGGGCTGAGCTGGCGCAGCCACAAAAGGCCCCTGGAGGGGGACATCTGTGAGAACCAGCCCTCATTTTGGTCCCTTGACCTTTTTCCAGTTGCCCCTGGACGTCTTCAACAACTACTTCAGCCTGGGCTTTGACGCCCACGTCACCCTGGAGTTCCATGAGTCTCGAGGTTGGCAGCCTCCCGCTGAGGCCAGGGCAGGGTGGGCACAGGAGCGTCCCCAGGAGGGTCAGACCCTGCTCCCACCACTGAAGGCGTTCATCCCAGCCCTCCCCCGACCTCACCTGGGCAGGCTGGGTGACTCACTGGCCCTCACTGTTTGTCTCCACCCAGAGGCCAACCCAGAAAAATTCAACAGCCGCTTTCGGAATAAGATGTTCTATGCTGGGGTGAGTGGGGTCTGCGCCCCCTCCTGTGCCGGCTCCTTCTACCACCCGTGCCCCTGCCCACCTGTGCCCACCAGGCCTGGGAACCCTGCCGGGTGGGGGTGAGGAAAGCTCTCTGTCAGCAGATGTGACTCCCTCTGTCTCTCACAGACAGCCTTCTCTGACTTCCTCATGGGCAGCTCCAAGGACTTGGCCAAGCACATCCGGGTGGTGGTGAGCGGGGCCAAGCTGCCACAGGGTGGGTGGGCCGGGAGGGAGGGTGCAGCTGGGCCCGTGCACCCAACACCCTCCACCCCTGCCACCAGTGTGATGGAACGGACTTGACTCCCAAGATCCAGGACCTGAAACCCCAGTGTGTGGTTTTCCTGAACATCCCCAGGTGAGGAGGGGGTCCGGGGAGCTCTGCGGTCCTTGTCCCGCAGAGACTGTGTTTTGAGGTCCGTGTCCTCACCTGCCCACCTGCGCAGGTACTGTGCGGGCACCATGCCCTGGGGCCACCCTGGGGAACACCACGACTTTGAGCCCCAGCGGCATGACGACGGCTACCTTGAGGTCATCGGCTTCACCATGACGTCCTTGGTGAGTGGGTTCTGGGCCCACAGTGCTGGGAGCACAGCCCCGAGGTTAAAGGGGGTCCCCCACACCCATCTCCATGGGCCAGGGTGGGCTGGCTCACCCTCACCTCCCTTCTCTGTCTCATTCCTCTGGCTTGAGAGTGGCACTCACCCCCTCTCCTACTTAAGTCTTGGGACACTTGCACTGCCCTTTCTGACTGGGGAGCCACCCTCATTGCCTCTGTCTCCTCCTCTCCCCACCTGAGGTCTCACCCTCCCCTCTGCTATCTGGCTGGGGGTCACTCTCACCTTTGTTCTCTGGCTAGAGTGTCTGCTCCGGAAGGAGCAGAGCTTGGGGCCTCCAGCCCGGGTGCCATCTGACCTGAGCTTCCTGTGCCCACAGGCGGCACTGCAGGTGGGCGGGCACGGCGAGCGGCTGACGCAGTGCCGGGAGGTGGTGCTCACCACGTCCAAGGCCATCCCCGTGCAGGTGGACGGTGAACCCTGCAAGCTCGCGGCCTCTCGCATCCGCATCGCCCTGCGCAACCAGGCCACCATGGTGCAGAAGGCCAAGCGGCGGAGCGCCGCCCCCCTGCACAATGAGTAGGTGCCTCCCCCGCCACACTCTGGTTGCCAGGGCCAGACCCTGCTCTCTCTGGGCCTTGGTTTCTTCATCTGTAAAAGGGGCTGACTGTCCCTCTGCCCCCAGGGATGTTGGGAGTGGGGAGGGATCTGCCCTCAGCAGGTGGCTTGGTGCCGGGCTGAGGGTGCCCAGGCAAGGTCTTTGCTGAGCCCCGAGTGCCCACCCTGCCCGACAGCCAGCAGCCGGTGCCCGAGCAGCTGCGCATCCAGGTGAGCCGAGTCAGCATGCACGACTACGAGGCCCTGCACTACGACAAGGAGCAGCTCAAGGAGGCCTGTGAGTGTGGCGGGTGGCCGGGCAGGGCCCAGGCAGCCGGGTCCCCCGTGGGCAGAGCCGTGGGGTGCAGCCAGCTGCTGATGGGTGCTCTGTCCTCCAGCTGTGCCGCTGGGCACTGTGGTGGTCCCAGGAGACAGTGACCTAGAGCTCTGCCGAGCCCACATCGAGAGACTCCAGCAGGTAAGGGGTAGGGGCAGGGGCTTCCCCAGGTGCCCACCGAGAGGGTGGTGGGAAGCAAGGCCAGGCCTCTTCCTCCTGCAGTGAGCTCTCCCTCCAGAGCCTCCTCTGTGCTGGTCCCCACTGCTCCAGGTTCCCTTCCATCCCTGGCCGCTCGCTCTATCCCAGCCTGGATTTTGCTTCTTTCCACAGGAGCCCGATGGTGCTGCAGCCAGGTCCCCGACGTGCCAGAAACTGTCCCCCAAGTGGTGCTTCTTGGACGGTGAGTCCACTCCCAGGGTGCCATGCTATATGTCCTGTCCCCTCCCTAGGGGAGCCCAGGTTGGGGCGGCAGGGGACTTGGGCCTGGACACAGCGCTCCCTGATCCTCAACTGCCCCCTCTCCCACAGCCACCACTGCCAGCCGCTTCTACAGGATTGACCGGGCCCAGGTGAGCCATTGCAGGCCTGCTCCAGCCACAGCTGGTTCCGGGCCCCAGGGTTGCCTCTCCTGGGACACCTTCCCTGGTGGCTTCCCCGATGGGCTCACCTCTGTCCTCTTGCCCTGGAGTGCGTTCACACTTGTCTGTGCAGCCCTGTCCTCCACACTGGAGAGTACAGGATGGTGCCAGCCGGAAAGGTAGCCGAGTACCTAGCAAAGGCTTGCTGGGTGGGCAGGAGGGCCTGGAAGCCCAGAGCCATCCAGGGAGACATAGAAGCAAAGGCACTCTGGCAGGTGCCAGCTCACCTGGTAGCAGGCGTCAGGCATGGGAAGGAGGCGGGAGAGGGGCAGGTGGGAGAGGGAGAGGGGCAGGCGGGAGGGGGCAGGCGAGTCCTTGGCCTGGCCACCTCCTTTCAGTGCTGGTGCTCATAGCAGAGGCTTCTCCAGGTCTGCCAGCCTTGCTGCCCCTCGGCCCCCACTGTCAGGTGCCCTGACCTCCCACCCTGACCTCCCCCACAGGAGCACCTCAACTATGTGACTGAGATCGCACAGGATGAGATTTATATCCTGGACCCTGAGCTGCTGGGGGCATCGGCCCGGCCTGACCTCCCAACCCCCACCTCCCCTCTCCCCACCTCACCCTGCTCACCCACGCCCCGGTGAGTCCTGACGTTCCGTCCCTCCAGCCCCTGGCTTTCAGTCCCACCTGTGAGCTGAAGGCTCCTCAGTTCTCCCTCCAGCCCTCCACCAGTTGACCAAACGGCATCAACCTGAGCCTGGCCAAAGCCCACCCAGTGGCCTTCAGCCCTGCAGTTCCCTGAGGGAGCGGCCCCTCCCTGACTTCTCTTCTCCCTCCCCTTGACCTCATCCTCCAGCCAGCTCTGACAGGCCCCCACCACCTGAGCACTCCTTCCCCCCCACCCCCCGCTGCCACCAGCCTGTCCCAGCCACCACGCCTTGGCCCCCAGCTCTTGTATCCCTGTGGCCACTCGTGCCCTCGAAGCCCTGACTCCACACCACAGCCAACTAAATACGCAGAGCATACCAGGCCACTCCCCCACCTAGAAGCTTCTCTCTCAGCAGCGTTTTGGACGCAGATTCTTCCCAGGCCCCGGTCATCGCATCAGGCTCCCATTCCCTCCCCAAGTCCCCACTGAAGTCCAGCCCCGCTCTCTTCTCTCGGTTCTTTGAGGCGCCAGGTTTCCACCACTGGACTTCCGCTGTCTCAGCCTCGAACTCTTCCCCATCTTTCCAGAGCTCCCCCACCCCCACCCATTCGAATCTAGCTTAGCTGCTTCCTCCTTGGAGAAGCCACTCCCAGTACCTTCTGCAGGGATGCCACACCACCTGTTCCCAATCCCCAGGGCACCCCTGCTCTCAGAACTCATTTATTTGACTTGTTTGCATCCCTGAACTAGAATGTAAGCTCCATGAGGGCAAGGCCTCTCTCTGTCTCATTCCCTGCTGTATCCCCAGTACCTGGAATAGTGTTTGGTGTGTAGCAGGCACTTAATAAACTGGAAAGAAGGAAGACGCCCCCGTTGGGGCTGGGGAGGGCGACCAACTGGCCCGTGCATAGCCGGCCACAGCACATTGCGCTCTGTTGCAGGTCACTGCAAGGGGATGCTGCCCCCCCTCAAGGTGAGGCCTCTCCCTCTGGGGCCCCTCCTTTCTGCCTGGTTGGGGACAGGAGGCTTAGTGGAGTGGGGAGAGGGCCCAGACTCAGCCTTACATAAACATAACTGTCGAACTCCACGTGGTCACATTCACGTACCAGCCCGGCCCTGGGCACACCCGCCCAGGCAGGCACAGTTCTATACAGTGAGGCACCAACCTCAGCCCAGGCCTCTGACTGCAGAGTAACGGGCAGGTGTTCCATGCAGGTGAAGAGCTGATTGAGGCCGCCAAGAGGAACGACTTCTGTAAGGTACTGCTCCGCGGCCTCAGCTCCTTCCCCCAGCAGCCCCTTCAGGCCCCGGGGATCGAGGCCTCTGGGTTGGGCCAAGAGCTGACCTGTTCTGCCATCGTCTGACCCACTGTGGGATCTCCACGGTGATCGTCCCATTCCACCTTGTCCCATGTCTGTCCAGGCCACAATTGGTGGCTCCTAGTAGGGGCTTCCTAGCTCAGTACACCCGTGCCCAGTGCTTAGAAAGGAGCAGGTCAGAGGAACCACTGCTCTAGGGCCTGGTCACCAGTGCTGCCAGGAGCTCATAGCAGGGCTGTGAGAGGCCCCTCTGGTGCTCCAGAGAGACCTACAGAGGCGCCTCGGGAGTAAGATGTGTGAGTGCTCTTGTGTCAGGCATGTGCTGGTTTCCATGGCTGTGGGCCAGCGTGGCAGCTGGGGGCAGGAGGGGTGGCCCCAGGAGCCCCAGCCCTGCCATGCCTCCTGCCCTCAGCTCCAGGAGCTGCACCGAGCTGGGGGCGACCTCATGCACCGAGACGAGCGGAGCCGCACGCTCCTGCACCACGCGGTCAGCACCGGCAGCAAGGAGGTAGTCCGCTACCTGCTGGACCACGGTGAGCCGGGCTGTGGGGCCCAGGGTCTGTGGCCAAAGCGGGAGGAGGAGGGGCTGCCAGGCCTCTCTGACCACCCCTCCCCTCCTCCAGCACCCCCCGAGATCCTCGATGCTGTGGAGGAAAAGTGAGTATCTGGGCAGTACTGGACCCTGGTCATCCTGGAAACCACCATCTTTCTCCCACCCCTCCTATTTTGTCAGGCCAGAGCCCATAAACTCCTCCTGGCCACATCTGTCATCCCCTGGGCCACCCCTATTGCCCCAGGGCCCCAAACTTCCTACCCTTTGTGATGGCCCTTGGGAGAGAGGGGTCAGGGGACGGGATGGGGTCCACAGCCAGCCCCTCCTCCCCCAGTGGGGAGACCTGTCTGCACCAGGCAGCGGCTCTGGGCCAGCGCACCATCTGCCACTACATTGTGGAGGCCGGGGCCTCGCTCATGAAGACGGACCAGCAGGTGAGCAGATGGCCAGCAGGGAGCCCATGCGCGGGCACCAACCAAACCTTTCCAGAGCTCCAAGAAGGGAGCTGGGGCTGGGGGCTGTCCTTGGGAAGACATAGTCCAGACCCTGGGAAACCTGAGCTAGCAGGGGAGGAGCTGGTGGGTGGAGAGGCCTCCCTCCCTGACTAGGCCCCTAGGAGGAAGAGCTCCTGCCTGGTCTCAGCCAGCTCGGGGTGGGCCACAGGCCTCTGGCCCCTGCTGATCACAGCTCCGCCCTCCTCCAGGGTGACACTCCCCGGCAGCGGGCTGAGAAGGCTCAGGACACCGAGCTGGCCGCCTACCTGGAGAACCGGCAGCACTATCAGATGATCCAGAGGGAGGACCAGGAGACGGCTGTGTAGCGGGTTGCCCATGGGCAGCAGGAGGGACAGCGGCCAGGGGACGAGCGCCCTCCTTGTCCAACTTACTGCCACATTCCAGTGGGACGGTTACGGGGGGACCCAGGCCCCAGGGAAGGAGCCCCATGCCGCCCCCTAAAGAGCTGCCCAGACCTAGGGCTGGACTCAGGAGCTGGGGCCTCATCTGACCCCTTGAGGCCCCCGCCGGACACGGAGGCTCACAAGGGACCAGGACACGGCTGGGTTGGACATGCCTTGTGGGGGTTCTGGGGCAGCGCGCTCCCTGGCCGCAGCAGATGCCCTCCGAGGATTGGAGGGTCTGGAGAGGGAGGGAGGCCTTCGGGAAGAGGCTTCCTGGGCCACCTGGTCTTTGGCTGGGCCCCCAGCCCCCGCTCCCGCCACACACCCCCTCCCCCGGGCTTCCTCCCGGAAGCTCAGCGCCTGCTGCATTTGCCCGCCCTGTCCTGCTTGGCACCCGCTCCGGCGACCCTCCCCGCTCCCCCGTCTTTTCAACGCGGACTGTGCGGCCTGGGGGTGGGGGGCGGGAATCTCGGTGACATGTTTACAGCTGGGTGTGACTCAGTAAAGTGGATTTTTCTTTTCTGCTTTTCTTATTTTGCGGGGGAGGTCTAACAAGCAGCGGGGGCTGCCGGGTTGTCCTCGGGGTGGGGACTGGACGCCGTCGACAGCACCTTCCCTGGGCCCAGGTTCCTGACCTCTGCCCAGCGGCCGAGCTCGTCGGGGCAGGGGCCGGGGGCGGGGCCGATCCCTCCAGCTTCCCGCTTCCCGCGGGGAACAACAATGAAAGTGAAAGAGGGGTGGGGCGGGGGCGAGCCCAGGCTCTGTGGCCCATGTGCCCTATGACCTTGAGCAAGCCCCTCCCCCAGGCCTCGGGGGCTCTCCTGGTTTGGAGGGACCAGGCGAGGCGATGCCGCAGGCCCGGGGTCAAAGCGGGTGGGCTTTTGCAGCGGCCGCTGTGGCTGGGTCTGGAACTTCTCAGACGGCTCCTGTCAGCGCGAAGTTTCACCAAATCCAGACCTGCGGGCTCCTCCCCCAAGACCCCCACTCGCCGCCCCTCAAGCCTGTGCTCCCGGAAAGGCGGTGGGCACCCGCACTCGTGGCTTTCTCTGGGGACCCGGGTCTCAGACTCCCCCGGCAGCACAGCAAAACGCCTCCCTGCCCACCCACGGAAACAGGCCCAGGTGGGGCCGCGCCCCCTCCCCAGCAGCCAGCGGGGCTCCAGGGCTGAGCCCGCCGTGGGAGGGGAGCGGGCCCGGCGAGTTATACGGGCGCGGGGGTCTGCGTGCCCTGCTCGTCCCCAGCGGAGGCTCCGCGGCCGGCCAGGGAAGTGGCGGCCTGAGAACGGCCAGGGACCTGACGTCTGGCAGGGGACGACCCGGGATGGGGGTCAGTGGGCGGCGGTGCAGGAAGCCCGAGTGGGCCGGGAACGGGTGTGCGCGGGCGGGACGAGGCCTGGGGCTAGGAGACCCCGGCTCGGAAGATGGGTCCGGGAAGGGCCGCCGTCGCAGTGCAGAGGGCACCGGCTGGGCGAGACGAGGCGAGGGCGCGGGGCTGGGTGCAAGGACGCGGGAGCTGAAGCGAGGGGTCGCAGGCGAGAGCGGGGGCGGGGACGCCGTGGTCGGGGGCGGTGCGGGTTTGAGTGGAGGGGGCGGGGCGGGTCCTTCCCTGGGGGGTGGGGAGAGGGGGCGGGGGCCCATGTGACCGGCTCAGACCGGTTCTGGAGACAAAAGGGGCCGCAGAGGCCGGAGCGGGACAGGCCTGGCGCGGGAGGGAACGAAGTAACGCAAGCAGCGAGCGAGCGAGCGCACGGCCGCCCCAGGTCCGCCCGGCCGCGGCCGATCTGAGGGCTGGGGGCTGGGGGCTGAAGGCTGAGGGCTGGGGGCTGGGGGCTGGGGGCGGGGGGAGGGGTCCGAGCTGCGTCCTGGGCTCGATGCGTCCCCCGGGAGTCGCCTCCCGGCGGTGCGTCCGGGCCAACAGCGAGGGGCCGGCCCCAAGTCCTCCCACAGCCGCCACCTTAGTAGCCCGACTGGAGGCCTGGAAAGTGGGGCACGCAGGGGTGGGAGGGCCCTGCACGCGGTCCCCGATGGGGAAAGGGACGGGACAGGGACTCTGACTCGCGCTCTCCCCCCAGGATGCAGCACCGAGGCTTCCTCCTCCTCTCTCTCTTTGCTCTGTTGGCGCTCACCTCCGCGGTGGCCAAAAAGAAAGGTGATGAGGGATGATCGAAGGCGGGCTGGGAACGGGCAGGCGAGGCTCCGCCACCTCCGGGCTGGGCCCTCCGGGTTCCCAGCCTGGAACTCCAGGAGGGCGGCCCCCGAGGGAGTCTCTCCATGCACCGGTCCTGAACTCTGTTCCCCGCGCGTTGTAGACAAGGTGAAGAAGGACGGCCCGGGGATAGAGTGCGCGGAGGAGTGGGCCTGGGGGCCCTGCACCCCCAGCAGCAAGGATTGCGGCGTGGGTTTTCGCGAGGGCAGCTGCGGGGCCCAGACCCAGCGCATCCGGTGCAGGATTCCCTGCAACTGGAAGAAGGAGTTTGGAGGTGAGGCGGGGCGCAGGCGAAGGGCAGGAGGGGGGGCACAGCCTCGCCGAAGGCGGGGCAGACTCGTAGAGGGAGGCCGCGGGCTGTGCAGCGCTGACCCAGGCCGCTCTCCCGCCAGCCGACTGCAAATACAAGTTTGAGAACTGGGGTGCGTGTGATGGGGGCACTGGCACCAAAGTCCGCCAGGGCACACTGAAGAAGGCGCGCTACAATGCCCAGTGCCAGGAGACCATCCGCGTGACCAAGCCCTGCACCCCCAAGACCAAAGCCAAGGCCAAAGGTCAGTGAGAGGAGAAGGGGGTGGGGCTGTCGCAGAGGGGTGCTCCCCCTGCCCCGCGCCTGTGAGGAGACTTCCAGGTTAAACCTTAAGTTTTGAGTCCTGGTCAGTGGCTTCCTGACATCGCCTCACTCGACTATCCCGCCTGGAAAAGTCTAGAGATGGGCAGTACAAGAGGGCCCGCAGGTGGTGCTGGGGACATAAATCCTCCCTGGCCCAATTAGGGACCAACTCAAACTACTCCATTGGAGCATCTGGATTAGGACCCAGAGAAAGTGCCCTGGAACGGCTGGCCTTTGTCAGCTCTCCAGCCACGGGCAGCATTCGGTCAGTTCTGCCCTTTCCAGTGTAGGGAGGAGGTTGGGGGGACCCTGGGCCTCTCTTAGCTTACTCCTGACTCAGTCCAGCGAGGCCGGCAGGGCAGGGGTGAATCTGCCCGCCTCTCAGGTGAGGAGGCTGAGGCTGTCCAGGGCTGCTGTGACCAGGATCGGGCCTAGGAACTTGAAGCTTTTCTGATCCCAAGTGGAAATAGGAAGCTGGGGGTGTCTGATGTCCACATCACAATGGCTGCCCCATCCCCTACTTCCGGGTCAGCTGATCGGAAACCACTAGGGGGCAGAATCTCCCCCTTCCCTGATGCCGCGTGTTTGTGGAGCGGGCGGTCTGCAGTGGGTCGCCCTAAACGCTGATATGGTATTAATATTTCTTTCTTGTTTTACAGCCAAGAAAGGGAAGGGAAAGGACTAGAGGCCAAGCCTGGATGCTGAGGAGCCCCTTGTGTTACCTGGGGCCTGGCCCACGCCCATCCTTTCCCTGGCCTGAGATATGACCCGCCAGTGCCTTCTGTCTGCTTGTTAGCTTTAATCAATCATACCCTGCCTTGTCCCTTTCACTCCCCAGCCCCACCCCTAAGTGCCCAAAGTGAGGAGGGACAAGGGATTCTGGGAAGCCTGAGCCTTCCCCAGAGCAATGTGAGTCCCAGAGCCCACTTTGTTTTTCCCCACGATTCCATTACTAAGAAACACATTAAATAAACTGAATTTTTCCCCCAATAAAAGCTTTTCTTTTTTAATATATAAAAGCCCCATCCCAAGGAATTTGCTGTGGAAATGTGTCTGGGGAGGGGAAGCTGGGGAGAAAGACCAGGCTGCAGGGACTGGTGGATTTCAGGTGGTTGGAGGCCTGGTGGTGGGTGCTCCCCAGAGCTCATGGAAAAAGAACCATTTCAAAAATTTCTTCCAGGGCCCCTGAAAGGGTGCCCCCCCATCAAATCCCCTAAGCCTTTCAGTCCTCATCTCTCCCAGGGACCAGGGCTGGGTAAGGGAACCTGGCTGACTCACCGGAACCACCACACCCATCTCAACCTCGCCCAGTCAAAGGTCAATCAGGAAGGTTCTACCCATGGGGGGCAGTAGGTGTGGGGGTTGAGTGCCTACCTCACTGCCCACCCCCACTGTCACGGAAACCCGAGGTCGACCCCTTTCCTCTTGCCTGTGTGACCCAGGCCTCCTTCACCTTCCAGAGGCCAGAGGGTGAGAGGTTTGAAGAGAGCAGATGGGAACGCTGCCCACCACAGCCTCACCCTGACTTGGTGTGTGACCTGGGACAGCCTTCCAAGGCTGGGGCGGCAGGGGGCTGTCTTCCGAATAAGTGGACCACCCTCGGCTCAGCCTGGGATTGCAGGAGGCCAGACCTCAGTTTCTGAGAGAGAACCCCTGACCTCCCCGCTGCCCCATCTTACTGTGACAAGGGCAGTGCTGCTGGGGTTGGGGGGACCTGGCCTCCATCATGCCCACCCAGAACCTGGCTACGCAGCTGCAGCCAGAGGAGATTTCTGCCCCTGGAGTGGGATTAGGGGAGAGGGGACTGAGCCTACATGCGGGGTGCAGGGGGGCAGAAAGCACCGATTACAGCAGAATGGGGGACCCCACCCCTCCATGCCCTTCCCAAGCCTCCTTCCAAGCACTGGCCCCTTTGTTCCTCCCGAGGGGGCCCTGGACTTCGGCCCCCTCCAGATGTCCATTCTTCCAGCTCTGCTGATGGTTGGTCACAGTGGGGCAGGCGCCCACCCAGGCCAGTGCCAAGGCCACAGAGGTGGGCCAGGCAGCCCCAGTTCAGCAGACACTCCCTGGGGTGAGCCTCCTCAGCCTGAGCAGAGATCTGATCTCTGAATACAGCCAGAGCCTCTTCTGAACTTCCTCTTCAGCAAACGCGAACACGGAATGGTGCCTGCAACTCTTCCCCACAGCAGGTGAGCCGTGTGGGCCCCCAGCACACACACGCAACCCCAGCACCTCCTAGAGCACTCCTGCCTGCCTACCTGGCAGTGCCAATATTCCGATACTGGCACAACAGCAGGTGCCGGAAGGTCTTTTTAAAGGTGGCATTGCAGAGAGCGTAGCAGGCGGGGTTGATGGTGCTGTTGACGTAGCAGAGCCAGTAGCCGATGGACCACACCGTGTCAGGGATGCAGCTCTGGCAGAAGGTGTTCACCAGGACCATGACGTTGTAGGGTGTCCAGGTGAGGATGAAGGCTAGCAGAATGGCAAAGATGGTCCGTGTCACCTTGCGCTCCCGGGCCGCCATCTGCCGCTTCTTGCGCACCTGGTTGCGAGCGATGCTGGCGAACTTGCGGGCCACGTTGGCCGCGGGACGCATGCCGGCCGGCGTGGCAGGCACAATCTCGATGGCTGTCACGCACTCATTGCCCGTCTGCTTCGTCACAATCTGGATCTTGGACCATTTGGAGGCTGGGTTGAGGGCCCGAGGCTGCAGGGGAGGGGCGGGCATGGCAGGCGTGGTGGCCTCTGTGGTGGACAGCTCTGTGGCTGGGCGTTCCTTGGTGTTCTGTGTGGCACTGCCTGAGCTGGACTCATTGGAAGTGTCCTTGTCAGCCACGGGGCGTGGCGGTGGTGGCAGCGCCGGTGGGGGGGCCTCCTCCAGCTTGCCGTTGTGCAGGTCCTCCCGGGCGGCCTCCCCGGGCGGGGGCTTCTTGACGCTCTGCTTCATCAGCGGGCTCTTGAGGAAGGCCAGCGTCTTGGCTTTCTTCTCCTTCGGGCCTTCGGGCCGGTGCTTGTGGACCCGGCTGCGACTGGCTAGGGAGATGTGGATGTACAGCACCGTCATGATGACCACAGGCAGGTAGAAGGCAGCGATGGCTGTGCCGAAGGTCACTGCCGGGTTGGACAGGAACTGGATGAAGCATTGGTTGTCGGGCACCGTCCGCTTGCCCACCACAAACTGCCAGAACAAGATGGCAGGCGCCCAGAGCACGAAGGACAGGACCCAGGCGGCAGCAATCATGAGGCCTGCCATCTTGGTGGTGCGCCGGGCGGGGTAGGTGAGGGGCTTGGTGACGCAGAAGTAGCGGTCAAAGCTGATGATGAGAAGGTTCATGACGGAGGCATTGCTCACCACGTAGTCTAGGGCCAGCCACAGGTCGCAGACCACGGCGCCCAGGGGCCAGTAGCCCTTGATGATGTACACGGTGTAGAGGTTCATGGAGAAGGCGCCGATGATGAGGTCAGCACACGCCAGGCTGAAGAGGAAGTAGTTGTTGACTGTCTGCAGCTGCCTGTTGACCTTGATGGACAGCATCACCAGGATGTTGCCCACGACAGTCACCAGGCTCAGGGAGCCTGTCACCGTGGCGATGAAGACCATTTCCACCGTCTCATAGCGGTTGTGGGTTGACGACGTGACCAGGCGCACGGACTGATTGCCCGAGCTGGCATTGACGGGTGTGAAGTTGGCCATGCTGGTTAGCAGGGAAGGGGGGTAGCCCGTGTCTGGGGAGGAAGGGGAGAGAAAAGCGTGAATTGCAGAAGAGGATGGTGGGGTGGGGAGGTTGTGCACAGGTACACTGGCATCAAAGGGACAGAGGGACATTCTCTGGCAGACCTTAAGAGAACTCTGTCCTGCCATCCCTCATTTGTCCTTTCATTCAACATTAATTGAGCACCCACTATGTGCCAAGCACTGTTCAGGGTGCTGTGGCTACAGAAGTGAATAAGACACACATGGCCCCTGCCTCATGGGGGGAGACATGCAAACACGTGAACTACAAAAAAAGCTCTAGAAAGAAAATAAGGCAGGTGATGGGAGAGTGAGTCAGAAGGCAGGACGGGCACGACTCCGTGCTGGGTGATCAGGGAAGGCCTCACCCACCGGGTCATCTGGGTGATGAGGAGGCAGCCACAGGAGCTGCAGAGAGTGGCCCCACCAAGGGTGGTGGCCACAGTGCAGGCCCAGAGGCAGCGTGAGGCTTAGACAGAGGCCGGTGTCAGGGGAGCCCAGGGAAGCAAGAGGAGGAGGAGAGTGGTCCCAGAGGTCCCCCAGCATGTGGGCGCTGGAGAGACATGTTCCTTCATCCATTTACCCCTTGGTCATTTCTTAACACCTGCTCTCTAACCCCTGCAGAAGGCACTGAGACAAAGGCAATAACAGGGGTATCTATGGGCACCCGACACTGACACTGACGGCCTACTAAGTGTCAGACACCTTTGACACTTAAAAAAGCGGGGGGCGGCATGGTGGCTCACACCTGTAATCACAGCACTTTGGGAGGCTGAGGCAGGCAGGCAGATCACAAGGTCAGGAGATAAAGACCATCTTGGCTAACACAGTGAAACCCTGTCTCTACCAAAAAAAAAAAAAAAAATTAGCTGGGCATGGTGGCACATGCACATGTCTGTGGTCCCATCTACTTGGGAGGCTGAGGCAGGAGAATTGCTTGAACCCAAGAGGCGGAGGTTGCAGTGAGCCGAGATCCCGCCACTGCACTCCAGCCTGAGAAACAGAGCAAGGCTCCATCTCAAAAAAAGGAAAAAAAAAAAATTGGCTTATCCCCTTTCCTGGAGGAACAAGAAAAAAAAGGGGGGGGGGAGTGTCTATTTATTTATTTATTTATTTGTAGAGACAGGGTCTTGCTATGTTGCCCAGGCTGGTCTAGAACTCCCGATCAAGCCATCCTCCCACCTCCTGAGTAGCTGGAATTCCAGGCGCCACCATGTCTGGCAACAATTTTTATAGTGTTAATTCATTTCATCCTCACAACAAACCTATGAGGTAGATACCACTGTATCTTTTTCTTGACTACTTACAGATGGGGAAACTGAGGTACGGAGATGTTAAAAGCCTGACTGAGGTTTCACAGCTTCTTGGTCATGTCGCATTGTGTTGCTGGTAGGGATGCGTGCAGGCAGGGGTGGAGAGAGGAAGGCGTTCTGGTAACTGACAGCTCTGGCTACGGAGGCCAAAGAGCTCAGAAGGCAGAAGGTTGTGCAGGGACCAGAGGTGGTGCATGGAGCTGGGCACCCCGAGAGGAGGAGAGTCCCTGCAAAAGGGGCTTCGGGAGGTAACCGCCACTGTCGAATCCCCTTCCTGGAGCCCTCAGCTCCAGCCACAGGGCAGGCAGCTGGGAGGGGGCAGTGCAGGGGTCACTAGGGGCTATCAGAGACCCCTGAAGCCCAACTGGGGACCAGTGAGGTGAACGGATTGTCCCAGAGGGAAGAGCAGGGCTGCCACAGCCTCCTCTTCCCTCTGAAGCCCACTCGGCACACCAGCAGCGCCCTAGCTGGAGTCCCCACCGCAGGCCCTTCCCTGAGCCTGCCCTCCCTCCCACCAGGCTCCTCTTAGCTCTCCTCCCCCTCTTCCTCTTCCCTCCATGTGAGGGAGGCCCACGCCAGCTCCGAGTGCCAGGGCAGCCGCTCAGCCCAGCCTCCTTCACACCCGCCAACACACACACCGCTCCACAGACGCACGCGGGCCCATCACAGCCACGCCAGCCCAGCAGGCATGGTCGGATACGCAGTTCTGTGCGTCTGTGTGTGAGAGGAAGAGAGGGCGCGGCAGCCCGCTGTGGAGGAAGGAGCACTAACCCCTAGCCTGCGCTCCGGCTGTGTGTCCTGAGACAAGCCACCTCGCCTTCCTGTGCCTCTTTCTCATTTGCAGAAGACAGGATCCTGTCCTGGGAGATCCTGCCTAGCAGCTATAGGGATCAGCACCTAAACTTGATCTTCATACATAAACACGAAAATTCACTGCCGGCTGGGGCCAAGGGCCAGGGTAACCGCCC